GCCTGGAAGCCACCGAGGTTGGCGCGAGCGCTGACGAAGGCGGCGGAGGGGATGTAGCTGTCGTCGCTGCCGATGGTGGCGAGGGCGGCCTGGTAAGCGAGGTTCATCTCCTCAACATCGTTGCTCTTCAGGTTGAGCTTGGAGTACTGAGGGCCGTTGATGGTGGCGTTGAGCATGTCGACGGCGGCGCGGGCGTTCTGGGCCAGCTCCTGGTTGTCCTGGGACTGCAGGTTGTTGGCGGCAGACTCGATGGCGGACTTGACGACGGAACGGACCTGCTGGCTGGGGTCCTGGTTGGTGAACTCAGCCATGCGCTGGAGCATGCTGGCGGGAGGGTTGGTCTTCATGAGCAGGAAGACGGCGGCAGAGCGGATCTCGGAGGCGTCACCAGCGTTCTGGTAGACACGGAACAGGACGGGGCGGGCGACCTTGGGGGAGATCTTGGCGAGCTTGTTCAGGGCGACGACCATGTGGAGGCGCTGGAAGGTGGAGACGGGCTTCTGGCCCTCGAGGTAGGGCTCGAAGACGGCGAGGATCTTGGGGTGAGCGATGTTGCCGAGGGCGCGGGTGTAGACCTGGACCTTGTGGCTGTCACCGTTCTGGACGGCGCTCTTCAGCTGCTGGGCGAAGTAGGGGATGTAGTCACGGGTGACGGCGGAGGCCTTCTTGGGGTTCAGGCGGCCGTAGACGTGGGTGGGGTAACGGGTGTAGGCGGTGGCGTTGTCGACCTGAGCACGACGGACCAGGTTGGCGAAGGACAGGATGGCGGAGGTGTTCAGGAACTGCTGCTTCTGGACCTCGGACTTCTTGATCAGGGAGAAGAGGGTGTCCATGTACTCGCGGGTGGGGGTGCGGGTGGTCTCGGGGAGAACAGCGAGGAGCTCGGCGGCCTCCTCACCCTGGACCTTGTGGTTCTCGATCCACTCCTTCATGGCGGAAAGGGCGGGGTTGGTACCGGCCTGGGCGACGGCGTCACGGAAAGCCTTCCAGGCAGCGTTCTTGGCGCTGGCGCTCTGGCTCTGGCTGGCGCTCTTGGAGGCGGGGGCGTACAGCTCACGGGCGGCCTGCTCAATCTGCTTGGCGTCCATGATGCGGACCAGACGGGCGAGGATGGTGAACTTGGCGAGGGTGGCCTTCTCGGGGATCTGGCTGGGCTGCTGGAGCTCCTGGCCGATCTGCTGAGCGATCTTCTGGACGGCGTGAACGGGGTTGACCTGGCTGGAGGCGGCGATGTTGCTGCCCTGGTAGCCGACGAAGTAGGGGAGCATGGGGTGCTTGGGGGCCTGGTTCATCTTGGGCTTGGACTGGAACCACTCCTCGCTGGAGTCAATGCTGCTAGAGCTGCTGGAGCTGGAGCTGTCAGAGTCGCTGCTGGAGGAAGAGCTGGAGCTGCTGGAAGAGCTGGAGGAAGAGCTAGAGCTGTCGCTGGTGTTGTTGCGGTTGCTGCGGATCTTGCGGTTCTTGCCAGACTCGTTGCTCTCGCTGGAGGAAGAGTCAGAGCAGGAAGAAGAGCTGGAGGAAGAGCTGGAGTCGGAGCTGGAGCTGGAGGAAGAGCTGCAGTCAGAGCTAGAGCCGGAAGAAGAGTCGGAGGAAGAGGAGCTGCTGCTGCTGTCGGTGTTGTTGCGGCGGCCGTGCTTCTGCTTCTGGTTCTCCTGGCTCTCGCTGGAGCTGGAGCTGGAAGAAGCATCCTGGTTCTTCAGGGAGCGGCGGAAACGCTTAGCGGCGGCACTGTGCATGCGCTGGTTCTCCTGGCTCTCGCTGGAAGAGCTGGAAGAGCTGGAGTCAGAGCTGGAGTCAGAGCTAGAGCTGGAGCTAGAGCTGGAGTCAGAGCTGGAGGAAGAGGAGCTAGAGGAGCTGGCGTCGGTGCCGTTGCTGCGCTTCTGCTTCTTCTGCCACTTCTCCTGGCTGCCGCTCTCGGAGGAAGAGGAGCTGCTGGAGGAAGAGGAGGAGGAAGAGGAGGAAGAGCTGCTGGAGGAGCTGCTGGACTCGTCGCTCAGGTCAGCGTTGTTGGAGGCAGAGAAGGGGTCGTTGTAGTCGTAGACGAGGTCCTTGATCTTGCGGGGGTTGGTGGGGGCCTCCATGTGGCTGTTGGAGGAGCTGACAGAGGCGAGGGTGAGGTTCATGCGGGAGACGACCATACCCTTCTGGTTGTTGTACAGCACGGGGCTCAGGATGACCTTGTTGGTGGTCACGGAGGACTGGATGGTGTAGCGCTGGAGGTTGCCGGACAGGACAACACGGCTGACAGAGGAGCGGGCCATGAACTCGCCCATCTGGTTGGAGGCGGGCTTGACGTCGGTGAGGGCGTTGAAGCCAAAGTTGTAGCCGGGGCGCTGCTCGCAGTGGCTGAAGTTCTTGGTCTTGACGATGTCGATCAGCTGACCGTCACCGCGGAGCTGGGGCATGGGGGCGAGCTCGGGGCGGCTCTGGAGCTGGTACTGGGGCAGGGGGCTGATGTCGTACATGACCTCGCACTCTCCAGTGACGTCGTCCTCCATGGTCTTGAAGACACCGTTGACGGAGCCGTGGCTGGGCTTGTTGTTGATGCGAGAGCTGATGAGGTTCTCGGCCTGAGTGTCAACCTGCAGCTGGCTGGCGATACCCTTGAGCATGTTAACCTCCCAGGTAGGGACGTTCTTGCTCACGATAAGCTCATCGACGATGCCGTTCTTGAGCTTGATCTGGAAGGGCTTGCTGCTGACGGGCAGGCTGTGGTAGTTCAGCTTGCTTTCGGGGATGGGGGTTCCCCAGCCAGCGGGCAGCTGCTGCTGGATCTTGGCATACTCGGCGTTGGAGACCTTGGCGGTGAGGAGGTTGTCGGACTTGGGCTGCACAGTCAGCTGGGCGCGCATGAGCACACCAGCGTACTGGTTGGCCACCTGGTGCAGGGCGGTCAGAGTGCGACCGCGCACCTGGTACTTGTACTCGGAGCCAGACTTCCAGCCGTGCTCGGCCGAAGCCGCGGCGACTGCAATACAGAAATGTAAGAAGTAAGCACAAGAGCAAGAGGACAAGCCGTGTGGGGCGCTAGGGCCGGCTCGCCTGGCGCAGGCAGAGGTACTCACCGAGGAGAGCGAACAACAGTGCCTTCCACATGTTGCTTGACCCGTGGGACGTTGAGTGAACGTGCCGAAACTCTGGCCGCTCTTGGCTTATATACCCCGCTGTCAACAACAAATTGTCACCCTTTGCAGTTGGTCACACTCTTATCACTACGCCACTTATCAGTTTGCTCGATTTCACTTATTCGGCTGTTCTGTCCATCCCATACGGATCTCATGCTAAAAGAATGAAATATAGTTTTACACAGAAAAGTGCGTCGCAAGTGGAATAAAAGTGTTAAGTTGGCACATAAAAAACACACACACTACATCCGTTTGCACCTTGTTCCTTGTTGTGCATAATGCTTGCAAAATTTCAGACAGCCATAATATTATGCGCACTTTTATGCATAACTACGTACAGTGTGTATAATTATGCACATTTTGTTCACAATTATGCATAAAAAATTGTGCATTCTTATGGCTGTATGAAATTCTGTAAGTTTATGCATAACAATATGCATAAGGGTTTAGTGTGTAGTGCGCGATGGTTTTGTGTGTGTAACCTGCACTGTAATTGGCATATTTGTAGTACGGATCAATTTGTCCATGTATTACGGATGTATTACGTTTGCACAGAATTCTCCGTAAGCGAGTCCGTGGAGAAATCCGAGTGTATGAAGAGTTGAGTTTTAACCGTACGAAGGATGGGGGGAGTGGAGTTGGATGAGTGGAAAGAGCCCCCCGCCCCCATTTCCCCCTGGCGTCCCCGCCTGAGAGGTTGGCAATTTTCATTTCACTACAATACTCCCGTAGGTAGGCAACCAACGGTGCATCGCCCCTTCTGTCAGTCGGACCTAAAACCGCGCCTGCACGTACCTTTGCACAAGCGATGCCCGGGCTGACCCCTGACACAAGCTTGTTTCGATTCGGCGCGTGGCGTGGCTGCTGACGGAAAGCTAAATAAATCTGCCTGCTTCTTTCCTTTATCGCATATAGTGCTCAGAATATGCAGACAGAACTAGAAGCCAAAGTTAAATCAATTGTGGATTATTAGTTTTTTTGTTGACTTTGATTAAAAGGTTAAGAGATTTATGTTTACTAGTTCAATTAAGAAGATTGCTGTGGGTGGCTCCGGGACTCTGAGAGCTACGGGCAACTCCAGTTCCATGGCACAGATTAGGTTCGTCTTCAGTTTAAATCAGCCTATACGCAATTGAATCTGAACCGTATCATCGTTGAATATAGAATAGCCCGAGCACGCATGCAGTCGCGCTGGCGGGTGGGCTTGCCTATTGAACCTAACTAATAGTGCCTGAGACCTGCAGGTTATACGTATGAGTACACCGCGATACATCGTAGAACTACCCCGCACGCACACCAACCGGAGACCAGATGTCGCTACACGCGGCTCTGGCGTGGAGTATATACAGCCAGAACCGAAGGTGCGGCCCACCTATCGATGTGCTCGCATGACCGCATTTAATTTTTTTTGCTATCAGCAAAGACTGATAGGTGGACTTGCGCACTGATAACAGTGTGATGGATTCGTCAGTTATACGGAGGTCGTCTGCAAGAACGCAACCGGGAGTAGGTCAGTGGAAGTGAAACGATTTAATGTAATGTGTTTCACATGTCATATGTCATAGCCGTTTGTGTCTAATTAGGCACCACATAACAGCCAGCGATAATAAGGAAAGGTGAAACTATGATGGTAAATATGTTCTTGTTATTGCGTAAAAGACGATTCAGCGGTGATTCAGCTAGGTTTGTCAATTTTTGGGGAAGCAGGTTTGAAATCAAGTTTTTAGAAAGTAATCCGAGTGGGCACTGAAAACTTAACAGTGTGCATGGCATGCCAGCGTCATGTACAGCGTGCATCGGCATGCACACGTTCCTACAGTATGAATGACATGCACACGTTGCCACTATTTCCTTTGGGGCAGATAACTTTGGAAAGTGGATGACATTATCAGTTCCTTCGTGAAAGGACCTGTCAAACGAGCTACCATGTGATGGGGTTCAAATCTACCTCTACCAAAACCTGAATAACGTTGGCAAAATATTAGAAAGAATTTCGGTAGATTTGAAGCTCTTTTTTTCACGAAGAAACTGAAAATGTCATCCACTTTCCAAAGTTATCTGCCTTAAAGGAAATAGTGGACACGTGTCTATGTCATGCACACTCTATATAACACGTGCATGCCATGCACACTATACAGCGTGCAAAGCACGCGTTTTTAGTACGGTCTCAACTTTCTTGTAGAGTGTACTCCAGATTATTGAAATCGCTAGATTGGCTTGTTGGTCGTGAAACACAATAATTTTGTCCGTTCTGAAATAGATGTACGCAAAAGGGCAATTAAACTACGGGAGCTTGACGCCTGTGGGCCTCAGGGTAGGCCACCCCGCAGTACATGCCTGCACTGCAGGCGAGATGTTGCCTACCTATCAGGCGCTATGAGAGCTTGCACAGCTGATGAACTTGACAGTTTCGCAAGGGCGAGTTATGGACGACCTTTCTGGACGTATATACCACATTGTTTTGTTCTGTAACAAAAGTATTTGTAAAAGTGCAACTACGTTAGTGAAATGCCAACGGTTCTCGATCATGTTTCATTCTTATTTTTTGCTGTCAAGTAACGACAAAAAAGTAGCATCAGGTGTTTAAAAAAAGCGCACTGGAAACGAACGTGTGTGAATGTCGCACATTTGTCGGTGTGTGAATATCCATTCGTACACTTAGGGGAGTAAACATGTGAATTTTCTAGGGAAAATTTAATTTAAATTCACACCTTAGCCCCTTCAAGTGTGCGAATGGATATTCACACACCAACAAGTGAGCGACATTCACACACTTGCGTTTCCAGTGCGGACACTACTGTGTTGCGGGATTGCATAATCACTAAGGCCTCAGGGGCTATGGTGCCTTACGGGCAAGGTTCGGAAAGTTAACCAAAAAAGTTCAATCGTTAAGTTAAAGTTAAATCGGCAAAAAATATTAACGGTTAAGTTGAAACGTTAACTTTTCATAAAAAGTAACTGTTAAGTTAACGTTAACTTAACGAAAGTTAACGCAACTTTTTCGTTACATTTTGGTATCTAAAAGCTCTAATTTTCACTGTACGTTTTCAAAAAATAACAGTCAATTTTCATTTTTCTTCAACGTTTGATCTTTTTCTAAATTTTTGTCTAACTTTTGGACCTCCTATACGTAAACTGTTACGCGACCACTATCACCACCACCCCTACCTAACCCTTCCCTGCCTCATAGGTCCCCTGACACATACGTTCACTCCATAACGAATCATCTCTAGGACCTGCCACTTTCATTGCCGCCCCGACTGCGCATTCTCTTTTGCGGCCTTGGCCCAGGTCGCAGTGCTCCCGGTCCCGGAGCCGTCCCAGCCCCCAGCGAGGGCCACTAACCCCAGCCCCCGCGCAAGTGCTGCATCCAAAATCGGGC